CTTGATTATAAATGTAGTTTAAGCTCACTTTTGAAAAATTAGAAAAAGATTTAATCACAATCTTGCCACCAGTTAACTATTGTTTATGGCTTTTTTATGTAGATAATACCCTCTCTGTACATAGCTTGCATGTGGGCTTCTTTAATCTTGAATACACACACAGAATTAGCATATTTTTAAACAAAGAAGATGCATGTGATATTGTTTTGGCCAAACATACCCTCCTCCCCAGGTAGTTTTGTAATTGCACTATGTTAATTTGATTTTCATATGTTGCTGTAAAAAAATTAGCACAGTTCAAGTGGCATTAAAAAAACCAAATTTAAAAAAAAACAAAAAACCAAATTTCTGTACATTCAACTAAAAAACTCATTGCTGGCTCACAAAACTCAGAACTGACTCCTATCTGGCCCTCCAGCAGATTGTTGTAGTTAGGTGCTATTGAGCCGAGTATAACTCATAACTACTCTATGATTAACAGATCTGAACCCTGTTGTATCCTGTGTCATCCTCACAATATCTGACACGCTGTGCCTCACTGCTGTAGTTACTGTGTCAATCCACCTGGTCTTCCTCTCCTTTGCTGGTTCTTATAGCTACATGCCCAAAATATGTGAGGCTGTAAATTATACAAGATGAGATTGCCTTTCTCCCTGGGAGGTAGATTCAAGCCACTTGTCTTTGAGTTGGCAACATAATTCCTTACCCATGCGGCCACTAGGACTACCTTATACCTGTATATTACTTGCTTTAAAAAAGCAGTTTCTCATTCCCATTTTTTCCTACTCCTAAGAGATTGAGATTGTACACAGCTTTAGTTTGCTTGGCTCCATAGTCAACAGTCTTGGCACCAGCAGCCAGGAAATTAAAAGGCACATTGCCATGGGAAAGTCTGCTGCTAGGGACCTCTCCAAAGTACTGAAGAGCAATGGTGTCTCTCTGGAGACTAAGGTGCACCTGATACAGGCCATGGTCTTTGCAATCACTTGTTATGCATCAGAGAGTTGGACAATGACCAAGGAGGATAGAAGGAGAATTGATGCCTTTGAGCTGTGGTGCGGGAGAAGAGTATTGAGAATACCATGGACTGCTAGGAAATCAAACAGACTTGTCCTGGAAACGGTTAAACCGGGTGGCTCCTTGGAGGCAAGGATTCTGAGGCTCCGTCTAACATACTTTGAACATGTTGTGAGGAGAGACGGGTCCTTAGAGAGGGACATCATGCTTGGGAGGGTGGAGGGATAGCGCAGGAGGGGAAGGCCCTCTATGAGGTGGATTGATTCAGTGACTGGGGTAATTGGGATGGGAGTGTCAGAGATAGTGCGATTGGCACAGGACAGAGCAGAGTTTAGGGCTATTGTACACAGGGTTGCTATGAGTCGCAAGTGACTCGACGGCACATAACAACAACAACAACAAACAATGAACCTCCATGGAGTTTCTGAGGTTGCAAATTATGCTGCTAAGAGACTGCTTGTCTCTTTGAGGTGCTGGTGGATTTAAATAGCCAATCTCAAGGCCTTTACACTGGAAATGCAACTCACTATGGACTATGCCACTAGAGCAAGTTAGGGGAAACAGTAGTATCTTGGAAAGCACATGCAGAATTTAATTCCTTTTCTCCAGACCCGAGCACTCCCTTACTCATAGGCAGGACCCCAGGGAGAGGGCAGGATATAGACAGGAATAGTTGCATGTTGTACTTGGGGACACTGAGTCCTAGACAGCAGAGTTCCCAGCCTTGGCAGAGAATTCCAACCCCCATTGGCCTTTAAGTAGCAAAGTTGCCCATGTTGAAGAGAGACTATGTGGACTTGGATAGTGAAAGTGGCAAGGGCAATCACAATGAAGGGCTCACATGAGTCTCCCGATTCTTGGGTAAGTCTCCGTAAGATGAAGAGCCAGCTAGTAAAGAAAGAGTTTGAACTTCCTTCTAATTCAGTGTTGTTCGTCTTCCTGGAATTGATTCTGACTCATTGAAATCTATTTATAGAGTAGAACTGCTTCTTAGGGTTTTCAAGGTTGTGACTTCCCAGAAGCAGATTGCCAGATCTGTGCCTCTGAGTAGGTTCAAACTACTGACCTTCTAGCAGTTCAGCATTTGACCGTTTGCACTACTGAGACCTGAGACACTTTCCAACTCCACAGAATGAATAATGCAAATTGAAATTGCCACTCCTGAAGAAACCTTGCCAGTGCCAAACACCACACAGAACATGCAGCGGGTATAAACACATACTTTATTACAAGTTAGGTAGAGCTTTATTCCAAATTCCTGACAAATAGTTGATCTTGATGAACTAGGTGAGATTTCATGGAGAAACTGAAAGGCTCCTTTTGTTCTGCCTGAAAGATAATGTGACCTCCCACCTAGTCTTCCCCGGGTTCCCTTCTTGCCTTGCAGCAGTCACCTTGGGGAAGCAGAGAGCCTTCAAAGAACATCCAAGTTAAACCAAAGGGGTCTAGAAGCATCTCTGAGAGTGCAGTTCTTTTTAGTCAATTACTACTCCCACAAAAAAAAGCCGCATCTCATAGCACTGTGGTCTTGCTGTCCTTGGACTTTTGTCTCTCATCCTATATTAATTCCAAACAACATTGGAGTGAAGATAGCCCAAGGTTGAGGGCTCAAGTGGAAAGCCAAAACTCCACTAGATAGTGTCTTTTCCCCCCTGAAAACCCAGTCAGTGGTCTTTCAGCCAGGCCAATGGACAATCAGAAATATAACTATCCCTCTCGAGGGAGGAAATTAGCAGATTTTTCAAAAAGTGCCACTGCATGTTGGTAAGCTGCTCTTTGAGCTAATGTGGGACCACTGAGATGACTGACTCGGTCATGCATTTCAGTCTTTTCATGAAATCCTTTTTTTTACGTATTGCCCCTAGAACTGCCAAAAAAAAAAAAAAAAAAGGAACTTGATGTTCTTTTAATCACATTTTCTCCAAGGTCACACCATATGTAAGGCAAGGGAGTCACTTTGGATGTGCTTTTATATCTCATACTAGGCTCTCACCAAAAAGTTATCAAGGATTCACAAAAAAATATTGCATAAACATAGATCTCAACGAATATTGCTATTGTTAGTTGCTGTCTAATTAATCCTAACTCCAGGCAACCCTATGAGTGCAGAGTAAAACTGCTCCATAGGTTTTCCAAGATTGTGGCCTTTCAGACAAGACTCACCAGAAACATCTTCCAAAATGTTTCTAGACAAATTCAAACCTCCTAACTATTTTTAACACCTAGGTATTACTAATAAATATTACACATCAAGAACTGCTCATTGAATAAAAGTAAATTCCTCAACCAGTTTGCTAACATATATAAAATTCAACACTATCACTCCCCATCTCTTCCAAGTTACTATCTTGTGCCAACTGAGAAATGAAATACTAACAAAATCAGTTGGCTCTCCCACCTCCCCAACCCAAACATCTCTTCTTATCTTCTCTCATTCTTCTCTTCCTCTCACTCCTCCGCTTCTGGCCGCTGTGGGTAGTTCAGAGTTGGGGCTGTTATTTCTTTAGATTTTTGAGGATCTTCTACTGGAACAGGAATAACTTCTTCAACAATTAAGCTCCCTGGAGCTCAGAGACACAGACAACAGGACCTCATCTATAAAATGTGAAAAACAAGAAACATGAACATTGCAGCTGTATGCAGAGGAAGAATAACATTTTTAAGGAAAAGCAGTGTTCCTAATATACAATATAGCTTAAACTCTGAAAGCATAGAACTGTTAAAACATGCCTTTGAAAACCCTATGTACAATACAGCACACTTAGACCAGCAGATATGGTAGCTGAGGCAGAGCATTTAAATATGTAAACACAAAGGAAGATGAACAGATGTAAGCAGACACTAGTGATTGGAACATGGAGTATGAGAAACATGAATGTAGGAAAACTGGACATTCTTAAGAAAGAAATGGAACATATAAATATTAGGCATTGGCAAAATGAGACGGAATGGCATGGGACATTTTGAGTCAGAAGATCATATGATCTATGGCGGAGATGAAAAGGTGAGGGAAAACGGGGTTGCTTTCATAGTTAAAAAAGTTAGTGGAGTGCACTGTGGGGGGGAGGGGTGTGGGAGGATTGTATAGCAAAGAAGGTATTTTTCTTTCGCTTTTCAAAGAGAGGAGTGAACTGGGGGGAGGGCTGGGCAGGGATAAAAGTGCAACAACGAATGAATGAAAACCCAAAATCTCTGTAAATGTTCATTAAAATTAATAAAATAAATTTTTTTAAAAAGTCATTTCTAGATCCATCTTGAAATACAATGTTGTGACAGAATAATACCCATATACATACAAGGAAGTCCAGTGAATACTACTATCATTAAAATATATGCAACAACAACCAGAGCCAAAGAGGAGGCAATACAAGATTTCTACCACCATTTACAGTCAGAAATCAATTGAACATGCAATCAAGATGCATTAAAAGTAATGGGTGAGTGGAATGCAAAAATTTCAAGGGGGAAAAAAATCTCAACAAAATCAAAACAGAAAAAAAAAATCCCTCACAAAAATCCAAAGGAGGGGAGGGGTTTCATGATGTCAACATCTCCAGGATGTCAACCAATTGTTATCAGATATCCAGAATGTACCTCCTGGAAACTGAACTGCAATGTAAAAAACAAACAAAAATACCTATTGATGTAAGTGTGTTATTTGAAGTAGTTTTTCCTTATTAAAATGAGTGAATAAGATTATAAAAATATATGTATTTCTGTGTACCCAAAGTGATTTTTTAAAAAATGGAAAAAAATAAGAAAAATAAAATTTAAAAAAAAATGGTTAGTTTGGGTACTAGGATAAAGGATTCTTTGGTTTCATCTTCTATGAGCTAATTCTGGGTATCACACTTTCTGTTGAGTAAATTCTTACTGTCATAATTTTATCAGAATGAAGCCTTAAGGATATTGATTTGGTTTTGGAGTGTGTTCCTCTTCTTACCTTTCTGAAATCAGTAAGGAGCTTGTGGGTCAAGGCCTCCTCAGTCACCCAGCATGCTGGTTCTCTTGCATTTATAACAGGCCGTGCGCCACGGAAAATTCACTGCTCTGCACCACTGGCAACCCCAATTTCTTTGAATGCTGCTGGGTTGCTCGGATTCTGAGCCTTTTTTCACTTTCGTTTGCTTGGTGACTTTTTGCCCCTGAGGCTGCGGTTTCTTTGTGCCTTCTTTTCCACCAGGGCTCCTTTTGCCCTTACAGGTGGCTGTCCCTTGAGGATTCTCGGAATTCTTTTCAGCGCTGAGTAGGGTCATCATCTGAAACTTCTCCAGAACATCTTCCTCGCTGTGGCTGTTGCTGGCCCCTTGGGGGGCTGGGGCTGTCACTTGTGGCATCTCTGGAACAGCCTCCTGGTCATTGTTATTGCTCTTTGTCAGCAGAGTTGTCACCTTAAGCTCCTTTGGGCCTTCCCCCCGGCTGGGATCCTGGTTACCTTCCGGGGGAGTCATCTCCTTAAGTTTCTCCGCATTGTCCACTACGTCATCGCTCTTAGTGGATTCTGGAGGTGCTTCTTCGGGCGCCTTGCTGTCCTCCAGGGACACTGTCGCCTGAGGGCTCCAAAAGGCTTGCTGCTGGAAGTAGCTACTTTGGTTCCATGGCACGGCCATCTCCTGAGACCCCCATGCACATGCACCCCAATGTCCAGGTTGCTGTACGCCTTGAGGGAGAGGCTGGGGGACTGGGGCTGCTGCGGCTACCGCTCCATTCAGTCCTCCTGGTTGCACAGGTGTAGAGTATGGGTATGCCACTGGAAATGGAGCCTGGCACTGGTATGGCTGCTGCACAGGCATCTGTTGTTGCATGGTGTGGGCCCAGGGACTCGACGCGGGCACGTAAAGCAAAGCCGCAGGCGCAGTGGGTGCTGCCATCTGAGTCTCCGACGGCAGCATGCTGTGTGCTCCCTCGGCCATCCCTTCGGCCGGACTCACTGCATGCTGGGGCCATGCCACGGCGCCATGCTGCTCAGCCAGAGGTGTAGGCACCACCTCATGGCCCAGCGGGGCGGCCTGGGCCGAACTCGTCATGCGGCACAGGCGCGCGCGCAGCCCGTCGCGCTCGCTCAGCGCCTGCTGCAGGGCGGCCCGGGTGAAGTGGAGCTGCGTTCCCGCCTCCTCGCGCTCCCCACGTACCCGCTGCAGCTCGGACGCCAGCGTCCATGAAGTCGCCTCGCGCTCCTGCACCTGCTCCTGCAGCCGCTGGATCCGACGGCCCATTTGATCCCGCTGCCGAGCGGCCACGCGAACACCCAGGGCCAGCGCGCTCCAGGTGCACGCCCTCTTGACCGGGCGGGGTACCTGCGGGTCGGCCAGGATAGACCGGAGCCGGTCCTCCACCTCATTCCAGGGCCGGGCGCGGAAGGCCAGGTAGAAGTCGGGCCCCCCGCCATTACTGAGGACCTCGTTGTTGATGAACCTGATCACCTCGTTGTGGCGGAACCCGCTGCCTTGGTCACCGAATTCCACAGCCATGGCTGCTGTGGCCCCGTCACTCGCGTCACACCTCGCGGAACGCTGCTGCGGCGGGTGTCGCAGTTGAAGAAGTTGTCCACCTACGGAGGGCCCGCCAACCAACTGGCTTTCACTCAGTCCAAACTCAGTCCTCAACCAATCTTGGCCTCCTCCTCAACCTCCTTTCTGTCCTCAAGCCTCGATCCTCCTCACAGAGACTGAAGCGGACAGGTTACCCAAGTTAAATCCCCGGGCCGACTGTCTGGTAGCGCGTCTCGTCAGAGATAAAGCTCTGAGTCATACCGAAACGCCTGCTGGGACCTGCTGCCCAGGGTAGGTAGAGCGCCCCCCTGTGTGACGGGATTGCAGCGCACGCGGTGCAACCTAGGATGCCCTCCACTGGGCGAGCCTTGAATCTGGCGGACTAACTTGCTGTGGCCAGTACAGCCGGGTATCAACTGCCATCAGTCTAGTGAGCCATGTGTGGGGCCAGGTGGTGGGTGGACTCAGTATTTATGGGGAGAGAGGGGACTGAACTGTCTTATTGGAGCACCTCCTACAGGGCGGGCTGGGGAGGCGGCTGTGCTCCTCTCTGCATGGGATTGATTTTAGTCAGCTCGGTACTCCCCGACATGGCGGGCGGGCTGAGTTGCTGTGCCCAGCTCTTCCTGGGACCAACTTCCTCCCTAGGCAGAGTGCTTCCTGCACTATAAGGCCACCATGAGTCTACATGGAGGTGGGCGGAAGGGGTGGAAATAAAAGGGTTAGGAAATTGTGGGTACAGCGATTAGGGAGGAGGGGCATAGTGGGATGGGGACGGGGGGATGGCAGTGGGCAAAATGGGGGTGGCAGATGGCAGTATGTGGTTGAAAATTAGGGAATTGGGGCGTTGCGGGGCATGGAGGATGGCAAGGTGTTGGAAAGGAACCATTCATTTGTTCTTGTACCCAGGGAGTGGGATTAGACCTTCAACTATACAGCACATTGACAGAGTGGATTAGAGGACCTGGGAGAACTTCTGAAATGGGGGAGTCAGGTAGAGGAGATTGTGGCTGGGGGGTTGTCAGTTCAGAAAAGTGAATATGATGCAGGTTAGATGGTGTACCAAAACCTAGGAGAGAGGGAGAAAGGCACATAGTGTTTGGGACTTGAGAAAGAAGGCTGGACCTCACTGACCGCTGCAATGACTCAATGGATAAAGACACTGAAAAGCCAGGTCAAGATATTACAAAGATGATGAGTAGCCTGGTGTGTGAAAAAGTCATTCCACATCCTGACTGGCGTACTCTGATGGATGATGAGACAGTGACTGTGAATATGTGTGGGAGAAGTGAAAGGGAGTGAAGCTCTCGAGTCTCTGGCATTTGGGGGATGTATTTTGGAGGCCATCACAAGCCATGTGGAAGGGGCTTCCAATATACAGTAGGAAGAAGGAACTACTCTTTCCCCAGCTCCATCTCCTCTTACATCTCTCAGCTGCCATACTATCCTCAAGCATATTCCAGTTTCTTCTGTGTTCTAGGATATTTATTTTTCTGTTTATTGTTATTAGGATGACCAATAGCGGCCCTAGGAACAACAGATCTGAATTCTGTCCTATCCTATTCTTCTCCATCCTCATCTTCTCTTTTTTTTATTATTATTATTAGTTTTAATGAAAATTTACAGGGACATTGGATTTCCATTCATTCATTATTGCACTTTTCTCCCTTCCCAACCCTCCCCCCTCTTGGAAAAGTAAAGGAAAAATTCTTTCAATGTTTTACAATCCCTCCCCCCAGGTCCAGTCCACTATGCAGCCTTCGCTCTGGACACCTGTCATGACAAAAATACCTAATCACATATCCCTTTTAAACAATTTTCTCCCTCTTCTGTTTCAATGCAGTATACATTATTGAACCCATCTTTCTCAGTCTCCCCTCAGCCCCTATGTCAGTCCTGTTTTGCAACAGTGGCACCATGCAGTATTTGTCCTTTGGTGACTGAGATACTCCACTTAGCATAATGTCCTCCAGGGTCACCCATTTTAAATAACATTGCATGAGTTCCTTGGTTTTCAATGCAGCATAGTATTTCATTGTGTGAATATACCACAGCTTCTCTATCCATTCGTTTGTTGATGGACACTGAGGTTGTTTCCAACTCCTTGCTATTGTGAACAAAGCTGCAATAAACATGGGTGTGCATGTATCTGCTTGGATGTCAGTTATGGTCAGTTATGGTCAGTTATGGTCCACTCCCAGGAGTGGAATTGCTGGGTCAAATGGTATCTCTATTTGCAAGTTTTTTAGAAAGCGCCATACCGCCTTCCACAGTGGTTGCAGCATCCTCATCTTCTCTTAAGATAGCTGCACTCACTGTATCAATCCATTTTGGTGAGGATCTTCTTTTTCGCTGGTCCTCTGTCTTTCCAAGCATGATGTCTCTTTCCGAGGATTAGCCTCTCCTAACAACATGGCCAAAGTATGCAAGACAAGTCTTTGCCATCCTTGCCTGTAAAGGGCGCTCTGGCTGCACTTTCTCCAAGACTGTGATGATGGCACCATCAGTGCCCCTAACCGCAACTAAAAACCAAACTTTGGGTCTAGCTTGGTATTTCTGTAGACTCTGGCACTAAAGAAAACAATCTTCTTAAAATTTTATACTCTCTTTGATTTAGTGCCTGGCCACTAGAAAATTGTCCTGTTAACCTAAAGTGGTGTGCCTCTCTGGCAGTTAAAGCCACTACAGATATGAGCAGCCTCCTCCCATGTGATTTACAGACTCTGAAAACCCACTGGACGTTCAGCTGTGACTTGATTCAAACTAAAAAACAATTTTGTTGCTGTTGTTGTTTTTGTGGACTGTAGAGTCGAATCCGACCCATAGCTGACCCTTTGGCGGGTTTTCAGAGGCAGTTAATCACACAGAAGGAGATTGCCCATCCTTCTCCCACCAAAAACAATGAGAAAAGGTTTTATTTAGTGGCACTAAACTTTTTTTTTCTATCTGGCTACTTCATCTTAGTTTACTCTTGCCTGCCATGTTTCCTTTAAATGTCAGGGTCTCCCTAAGTTTTGTCCTCAGACTCTCAAGAATATTTCCAAGCACTTTGCCTCATCTCAACACTTCGTGGGATGCCATCTGTTCTCTTGCTCTCACTTACCATCTAATTGCTGAAGGCTTCCACAACTTTATATCTAACCCTGCTATCTCCCCAAAACAGCAGACAGACTCATCAACAACTTCCCTCCTAGAAATCTTCACCTGAATCCTCCAGAGGTGCTGTATTCTCCCTAAATCCAAAACTCATCCACCACTTTGTGCAAATCACTTGTCACATTGCTTCACTATCCTGAAGGGACTGCTCTTTAAAGAGTTGTAGGAAGGATGGAACTAGAACAGATATGTGAAATGGTTAGTAAATACTCATTCACGGAGACACATGTGCCCAGAGTAGAACCGTTCTCCAGAGTTTTCAAAGCTGTGCTCGCTAGAACCTTTGTGTCCATTTTATCTCTAGGTGAGTTTGAACTGTCAATCTTCTGAGTAGTAATTGTATGCCTAACTGTTCACAATATCCAGCAGCTCAATATGTAATATATATGTTAATAATAATAATTCTTTCCCCCCATTATTGTTGTTACTACTATTAAAGAAAGTTTCATGTGGAAGGTGGGACTTTATCTCAGATTTGAACAAATGAGTGGGATTTAACTGAGGACAGCAAGATATTTCTCTGCTATTTACCAATTGGCTCTGTGGCCAAGATTTGTACCAGGTCACCCTGTTCTGCCATATCCAGTTAAATTATATTGCTCGATTCATATGACAACTGCCTCTTGTACTTTCATACCACTATGTTTTTAGAAGCTGACATGTGGTCCCCCACCTACCTGCCTTCTACATTTCAGCTATTTCCATGGCTGCTCTTTGCTAGAGCTACACATTTGATACCACCAGGGAGGCACCATGTGTGTACTGGCATTTGTGATATTTCCAGGATCTATGTTGCTTTCTGGGTGCCAAAGGCATCATCTGCCTCTAATCACAAACAAAACATGTTATGTATCAAAAAATGCAGAGATGGTAGTGTTGTTGGGGGTGTAATTAGGATTACACTTTGGAATCTACAGAAACATGAAAACACATTTTTAAAGGATATGTGTATGAGAGTAAATTACTTTTATCTGTAATAATAATCATATATCCTTAGGTTAGAAGTGGAAAAATGAAATGGAAAATGCAGGCATTCCATTCCCTGGAATATGACAAACCCAATTGTGTTGTATTTATTATCTATATGCACAACTGGATAGATAACATATTTGACTGCAAACAAAGACATATTCAGGTTTGGACCAGTTCAACTTGCCACATATTGAATAAATATTCTAAGTAACCATACTGTTTTACTAGGTATATGAGAAATCACTCAGCTGTAAGAGAAGCAGTTATCAATATTACCAGCTCTCATTTATGGCCTTAGCATTAATAGTTGCTTCAATTTAGGTTAAGGTAGTAAGGTAGAAGTAATTATTTTTAAATTAAAATTATCAATAGAAAGTCTTTCTGTTATTTGTATTATAAGCAATAACACTGGTACTAATAAAAAATTTCTTAAGATTATCATACAGTAGTGGATAGAGGCTAACTTTTTTAGTGCTTAGGTTTAGTGGTAAGGAGTTGCACTGCTAACCCAAAGACACACAGTTCGAATCCATTAGCTGCTCTGTGAGAGAAAGATGGACATGTCCTCCAGTTCAGGTTTCTGAAAATCTGCTTGGAAGTCAGCTTTGTTGTAGGTTCTTTATATAGATTGAAGTAACTAACAACAATACTACTTTGTGCTAGAAGTGGTGGACTCCTTATGTATATTATTTTTGTTGTTACATACCGTCGAGTTGACTTCAACTCATAATAACTCTATACACAGTAGCTCTGAACTTTGCCCTGTCCTGAGCCAGTCTCACTGACTCCAACACACCTACCCTCATTACGCCATCTCATCCACGGCTTTTGTCTCCTGCGCTGCCCCTCCA